CAAATCACTCTCACATCTATTATCTCATTGATTCTTACAACAACCCTTTGGGGGAGTTGATATTAAATAGTTCTATTTTATAGGCTGGAACACAGAAGAAGTGTTTATGACTTGCTCTAAGTCACTCGGTTGGTTGCAGGGAAACCTTCAAGTGGATTCCAGGTCTCCCGAATCCTGATAATCCCCTGGCCGCTGGGACTTCATCTTGGATGCCCAGGGCTCCACTCTTATTAAGTGTTATGAGAATTAAAGGCATTAACTGTATGTAAAGGGCTTAGCACACACTCTGGAACACAATGAGTGCTGCATAACAGCATTTGCTGATATTATTTTACCTGGAAAGGCAGAAGAGAGCAAACTAATCCCTCCAGGGTCCTAGGAATATAACTTTCGGTGGCTCATCCCAAACCCAAAATGTATTTATCTTCTCCCTCACTCTTAAATCCCTACTCTTAAATGGGAATAGCTGCTACCTGGGCTTTGGTCCAATGGTCCAAGGTGGTTGTCTATGGCAGTAGAAGATAGACTACAGACAAGAAGGTCCCCAAAGATGCCATCTCTGCCTGGGGTGCACCTACACCCCCTCCTTTCTATCAAGGCACCAAGTCCGTAGGTAAAATTCCTTGGAAATGTTGACAGAGCAAGAGAGAGATTGAAGACAGGTTGTCAGGACCACCGGCTGTGTTTGAAAATCAAGTTGTACAACGTTTGTCAACTCTAGTCTTTGGAAGGGAAGAGATGATTGAAATGAGTCTGTCCTTGTGCTATTCAATCCCTTCCCCCTGCTTCCTTCTCTCCCTGTAGCTTTCTTAGGAGAGGTTGCCAGGGACTCCTGAAGCAGGATTGTCTCAGCAGAAGGTGTCCATTCAAGAGCCCCAGAGCTCAGTCCAGCGCCCCTCATTTCAGAAGGGAGAGTGCCTTGCTCAAGGTTATCAAAGGCAAAACCAGACCAGAAACCAAACCCCCTGCTCCCATCCCAGGGCATTACACTGGGTCATTGGGAGCCTGAAGCACTGGTCTGCCCTGCTCTGGGGAGAGCCTGGGGTGTGTACCAGAGTCGCGTGGAGAATGGGGATCACTCTCATTGTTTTCTGTGTGGAGTATCGTCTCTGCTCCCCTGAAGATGGTCATCTCTGGGTACAACTCGACTTCATCCACAACTATTTGCCACTGACTAGGGGGACAGAATGGGCTCCGGGAGAGATTCAGGGGTATCCTCAGAATGCCCTCCTTGATTCATAATTAATGATACCACTACTGAAGACTGGCTGTGTGCCCCATCCTCAATGCATCCTCCCAACAAATTTACGGGTTAGCTGCTAGTGTCAGTGCCATTTTTCAGCTGTGGAAACTTAAGTGCAGAGAGTGAAATGACTTATCCAAGGTGACGCATTCGCTACGTGCTGAATCCAGAACCAAAGAGCCAGCTTCCACACTTCAGAGCCCACTTCAGAGCCGTGCTTCCCTGAGGTTCCCGAGTCACATTTCGGAGATTCTTAAATTAGTAATCCCCACATTCAAACTGACATTATAGAAGGTTTTGGCTTTGGAAAGTAGGACAGAGAGGAAGAAAATCCACCCCACTCCCTTTCTGAGGTGAAGAAGTGGGTTGAGCCAGGAGGACAGGGCTGCCAGTACCCTGCTGCTTCCTGGAATGATCTTACCTGGTGTTTAACCCCCTCCGTTGCTCTGTGAGCAAACAGGATCTTGGGGTTTGAAGAAGAGTAATGGGGGTGGAGGCAGGAGTGGAAAGGGACTGTTCCCTGGACCAAGAAACTGCTAAAATCTTTAAATATCTCTTGAACTTTTTTTTTTTCTTTTGGCTCCCTGCAATGTTTTGGTGTTTAGATTCGGTTGCCACGAGGGGGGCTGTTTTTAGCTGCCTAGTTCCTTCCCCTCCCCTTTTAACTTCTTTCCCTTCCTTTTGCACATGCCCCAGCACGAAGTTTCCAATTCTTATCTCACTCAGCAAAATATACCAAGGCTGGTCTCAATGTGGATTCCCCAGGCGGTTCTCCAGTGTGAAACCTCAGCAATATTCAAGTCTCTGCTTAACCCTCTTTCATTGAGGATTAACCCCTGAAATAACCCTAGCCAGGGCTTCCTTCTCAGGGGGGAGAGGCATTCTTTGCCTTTGTATGGAGAAGCATTTTGGTCTGGGGAAGTTTTCCTGCCTCTCCTCTAGATGGTACAGAGTGTGCACATTGGACATTGGTGGCATTAACTAAAGTCAGGGTAAAATGAAGAGGCACAGGACTCAGATACTGATCACCCTGGTGGCACACACCTTGGGGATCTTCCCTTCCACTGCTCTTTCCTAGTCTCTCTCCAGGCATTTCACAGTTCTCCTGGGGGCTGGGGGCAGGGAGGCAGGCTGGAGTAGTTTTTGTTTTCCTTGGATAAGAGTTTCATTCACAAGGAGGTGGACTTACTTCTCTGTCAAGATTCTTATGCTTTTAGAGTTTCAGTGGGAAAGCAGGCAGAGAGTGTCCAGGCTCTGACTTCGGAGAAGCGCTGACAGCATTTCTATCCAGGTGTGACTTGGAGATTCAAACTCAAGAATTTTATTAGAACGAAACAATGGGAGGCAGGATGGTAATAAAAATAAGCTGACCAGGGGTTGTGGACTTCGCTGTCTTGATTACCTTTCTCTTGCATTGTTTTGTGGAGGCTGTTCTGTTTGTTTACCCTATGCCCTAAATGGAATTTCCCCTTAAGGACAGGACTAAGCCTCCACGAATGTGGCTTGGATGTATTAATGGAATAATAGTTTAAAATGTAAACTGGTTCAAGATTTCTGTAGGCACTTCACAGAGGGGAAAAAAAGAAAAAAGCTTTCACGTGTTCTCCCCCATCTCCTTGTTTCATTTTATAATGGTGCAATTTATTCAAAGCTAGTAGATAAGTAGATATAACAGATAAGTAGAGAATCCCTAAAACTTTCATGTGAATTTGCAAAACACCCTTCCTTCTGGTCTCGCGGCGTTCTAGGGGTTGTGCCTACATGCCCGGGGTTTACCTGCCTGCGGGGTTTACCGCAGGAGGGCGGGGAATGGGAGTGCGGAGAGGTGTGAGGCGGTATGGGCGTGGAGGCTGGAGGGTGGCGCCGGGAGAGCCGTTACCACGGCGAAAAGTAAAGCAAAAACAACCGTCTCACGCTTCCCGCGCGACGCTACTGGAAACCTGGTCATGTCCAGGGCCACATCGCGGAGGATCCTGCGTGGAACCCCGAGGTTCCCAGACGAGCAGGAGGAGGGGGCACTTCCGAGGCCACCCTCCTCCTTGTCCTGGGCCCAAGGCTTGGAGGGGTGGGGGGTATTCTAGGTGAGGCTGGGGCTTGGGGGAGAGGATCGCGGGTGTGGGGGACTCAGTTTGACCTGCAGCTCAGAGGGTCTCTGCCCCAGACTGCTGGGCAATCGGAAGGGCTGGGGAAAGGGACAGGGATTTCCCGCGGGTGCGGGACTGTGTATTTAAGGCGGAGGGGGCTGCAGGTGCGGTGGGGTGCGACTGTGGGCTAGACCCGGACTCCGAGACCCTTCTGGCTCTTACCCCAAATTGCCAAACTATGACCGTCAACCGCCTCTCTCCCAAGAGGCAGGTAGAAGAAGGTGTTTCTGCCCCCGGCCGTGCCCCCACACCCCGCGGGCGCGCGCGGGTCACCCGCCCAGGCAGGTTCGAAACGTCGCAGGCTACACTCGCGTCCATGGGTGTCCTTGGGCAGTTGAGAAGGTCCCTGGTTCTGCCGCTTTCGAAGCCGAGACAATTGGAGTCGGAGAATCGGAACGGGGAAATCGATTTTTAAGGTTCAAATCCAGTTCTGCTGAAGCCTTGGCTCGAAGCTGGGGCCATCGGACCCCGCCTTTCCCGCCACCCGGGCTCGAGGGCGGAAGGGATTTCTGCTACCCGGCCTCATTTCGGCTGCGGTCAGTGCGCCCCGAGTCCGGGCCGTCCTGTCGCAGCCCAATCCGCTCTGGGCGCAGAAAAACGTGTGAAAGCCGAAGATGGGTTTTCCCTAAATCTTGCCTGAGATCGAGGTCACCCTTGCCCCGCCCGGCCCGCGGAGACCGAAGCACCTTCTCTTTGCTCTCTCCCTGGCCGCTCGGCTTCAGCCCCACTCTTATCCCCTCTGATTCGCCTCTGATCTCTCCAGGTCTCTCGTCTTTCGATGGTCTTGTTCGTTTCACTGAGAATCTCCCTCTCAAACACTTTGTGGTTGTTAAAAAATCCTAATCCACACCGTCCTACCACTCGCCCTCGCCCCAGAGGCGGGTTCCCAAACGGCCCGGAGGCGGTTCCGCGTGTGCGCTCGTGTCGGCTGTGCCGGAGCTGCGGGCGCACGGTGCCCGCCCAGCGCTGCCCTCCGCGACTGGGTTAACCGGCAGCCTCCTCGCGGTCTCTGCCGCGGAGGTCACCCCCGGCGGGTAACGGTGTGGAGTCCCGGTAGGGTGCCTTTGGGCACCTCTCCCACACCGGAGACCAACGCTTCTGCCCCTACCCCGCCCCTTACTTGAGAAGGGGGTGTTTAGCGTGGGGAGGAGATATTTTCTTGAAGCTCTAGAAAATGACCACGCATTTTAGAAAAAGGTCGTGCCCGTTTCCCAGCCTCACCTAGTCTGGGCTGCGGCCAAGACCCGCCTCTCCATCTTCCCCCCCAAACCTAGCGGAGGGAGAGATGCCAGCGCGGTGGAGTCATGCCGCTGGCTTGGGCACCATTGGCTCATGCCTGGAACACGCAGCGGCGAGTACGCACATCTGGCGGCCAGCCCGAGCGGCTCCGGTCCTGATATGGAGAGAGAGGACGGGCGGGTGTGTGTCCGAGCGTGCGAAGCCGGGAGAACGCGCCCCGGCCGGCTCCTCCCCAAGCTTGCATCACCAGTCCCCGCTTTGGCCCCTCCTTCCCCCGCCCCTCCCTTTGCCCAGCCTAGTTCGGCTGGTTCTCTGGGGAAGCTATTAATAGCATTACGTCAGCCTGGGTCTGGTAACCCAGAGTAAACGGGCGTGTCGCCAGCCTGAGAGCTATAAAAGGGGTGATGCAACGCGCTCCAAGCCACAGTCGCACGCAGCTAGACGCGCGCTGCACAGCGCTCTCCCGGCGCAGCAGTCCGAGCCGACCCACCAGCCCGCGCGCCGGCCGTGCGTCCTCGGTGTTCGCCCGCCGGCCCCACAGACAGACAGACAGCCCGACCCCGCCCTGACCCCGCCCGCCCTCTGGACCCTGGCCGCCCGGAGGGGAGACAGGAGGTGAGCGCTGGAAGACGAGTGAGTGAGCGCTGCGAGGGTGGCTCGCTTTCATTCCCTTTGCGACCCTCTAATAACCAGTCCCCCGATCCCTGCGCCCACCCCCGACCCGCATGCCCAGGCTCCAGCTTCGAAAGAACTCTGGCTGAACTTCTCCCAGACACGGCTGCTCCTCAGCACTTGGGAAAGTTTCTCGCAAAGAACTTTCTCTTTTGACATGGGGCGCGAAAGGTTTCTGGTGAACAGGAGAGGTCGGGCTTCCGCTCCTCTCCGCCCTCGGCACTTACTTACCCCACTAGGAGCGGGCGTGGGGAAGTGGGTGCGCGGGGGTGTCTGAGACTGTCCGGCTCGCCGTCCGGCTCCATCCCTCGCTTCGTGTCCGGGCACTGCCACTCCCGAGCCCAGCCTTCCGGAGGTCCGCAGAGAGGCGCGGAGGCCGGGTGCTCGCGGAAGGGCTGCGCTAGGGACCGAACGGAATGAATGGGGAAGGGACGGGCGAGCCGGGGGCGCGGGCGCGGCCGCTGGGGGTCGCCCTGCGCATCGCGGAGCGCTGGCTCAGGACCGTTCAGGGAGCCGGGAGCGAAAGTTAGTTGGGATAAGTTTAGAGGTGGCAAGCACTCATGTCGCTGTCCTGGGGCAGAAGGCGGAGAGGACTCCCGGCACAAGCTGATGTTGGGCTTCTGGGCCGGAGGCTTCCTGTCCAAGTCCCTCACACGCTTTTCTCTCATACCTGTGACTCTCGCTCTGGCTCTCTCTCTGGTGGGTTCTCGGATTTCTTTGCTTTGCGTCCGTGGAGACCCACCGTGGGGGGAAGCGAGGGTGCAAAGCCAGTTCAGATAATTGGGAGAACGGCTTTGTGGTCTAGTGGCCAGGCCCTGAGAGCTTATACTACACTTGATGTCCTTGAGCCTCAGTATCCCCAGCTGGGAGATGTGGGCACATAGGCACTACTGGCCTTCTTTGCTTGTTTGCGAGCACCAGGGGGTGTTTGGACTGGATAACCAGTAAAGTCCTTTCTGGCTAAAGATTTTCAGATTCTAGAGTGGTGTAATTGAAACAAAAGGGGCCGGTGAGGGGACTTGAATGACTTGAATGAGGAGGGTCGCTATCTAATGTCACCGACCAGCTTCTGAGGCAGTGGGGGAAAGGGGCCTTCTCTGTGGGGCATCTCTTCCTTTCCCAACTTTCTTCCCATTGGATTGGTTCTCATTCTCTGCTGCCCCACACCCCATTTTCATTTCATCTACTTACTTCCTTTCCTCCTAACCATTTTCTTTTCCCTAATTTCGTTACCTACTTCGCATATGCTCCCTTACAAATAGAGGAGTTGCTAAATCCTTGATGAAGCCAGAAAAAAAATTGGGGATGCTAGAAAATCTGGGTGCTCTCCAAAGTGTGGGTGACAGTCACATCTATTTGGGGCCTCTGTCTCCCCAACTGTAAACGAAGGGGAAATTGGTATTACTGTCCCCCTTGTTCTGTGTTTAGCATTTGTTGTAGAATAATGCTACAACATATAGGCTCTTGCTTTGAAGATATCCTGGACAAAGCCTGGGGTGGTGGTGGGTTTTGCAGTTGTTAATGTCTGCACAGTTTCAGAGACAGCATGGCAGGTGGCAATCCAGGCCCATACTGTGCATAAGATACAGACAGCACCCAGCACCTCTGGCAGCTGTTGGAGCCTTCTGAGCCTTCTTGTCTTAACCCCACCCTTCTCTCTCTCCCTCTTGGCCCTTCCTCTCCATTGTTCTCTTTCTTCTATACTCTGTCCCTGTCTTAGTCCTGTCAAAGCCTCCTCTGTAGTGGGTACCAGGTTACAGGACTATGAGGGGTAGATGACCCCTCATCTACCTTTGCCTTATTGGTTGATCCTCATAGTGTTGGATCTCTTTTGGTGATGGAGCAAAATGAGCAGCGGGTGGGTGGTCAACAGCTTGGCCTGGGCTGGGGCACTCACCAGCTTTATGGCCTTGGGCAAGTCACTTTCCCTTCCTGGACCTCACTTTACTCAATTACAAAATGAAGATCTGACCTAGATGACTCTAATATTGGGTGTTCTATCCCATTGTATAGAGCCCAGGCAGTATTGGTCTCATTTTACAGACAGGAGACTGAGGCCCAGAAAGCGTGAGTGACTTGTCAGTGGGTGCTCAGCTTGTGAGTGGTAGTGATAGGCCTGGAAGCATGGTCTCTAGTCCTGAAGTCTGGACACCTACACACCTACAGCCTTCAAGTAAGCTGGGAGAAAGACCAAGATATGAAGTTATGAAAGACCAACATTGGCTTCCTACTGTAAGATGTTTTATGAGCAGTGCTTACTGGAAAGAGATGAAAATTAAAAGTGAAAATTCAACGTTGTTGTAGCTACTAGGAAATAAAATCTGGGAGCTGAATTTCCAGTTACAGAAATACATGAGTAAAGTTTCACTTTCTTGAAAATGATGAAACCAGTGATATGACATGATTTCTGATTGGAGATAATGAAGCAGAAGCAAAATGCGGGTTCTTTGTAGCAAGCCTGGACAATTTTAAGATCAAAGGAGAAATTCAACTCAGAAAATCCCCAAACGTATTTTTTTCTTCAATGAGGGGGATGTTACAGGGGCTCAACTTTTGGAAAAATTGAAGATTTAACTTCATTTTCCTTGTTGGGACACAGCCTGAGTCTGAGCTGAATCATAAACCTTAAGAGAATCAGTCAAGGAGTAACTAGAAAGTATCTCAAGAAACTAGGCTTTAGCAGAGAAAGCTCAAATCTCTACAGATACAACTGCTTTCCTTTCTGAAAGGCTTTTAACATTTTTACAACCTATTTCCATCCCTAAGTAAGCCCACCCAATGCTTTTCATAAAAACATTCCATACCACTGACATTCTTCAGTTTCTTTCATCAGGACTGCTGACTTTACACTAAGAAGGAAAAAACAATCTCAAACAGCAGACTCCAAGCCCTGAGAGCTCATTAATAAACTTAGTTGAGTGGTGAAATGGAACTACGCTCAACTGCAGTGGAATTCAAACTACCCATGTAGAAGGGGGCCATCCTGTCCTCTCAACAAAGGCCAGCCCAGTGGTAGCTCTGAATTCCATCCCCGATCTATTGGGTTTTTAATAAAGTTGGAAAGGAAGGGAAAACATGAATGCATGGGAGAATCTTAAGTCTCTGGCTTTAGAAGGCTGATTTCTTAGAGTTTATCACCTGCCAGAGATGTATCCTTCCAGCATCCTAACATTATAGGATTAAATTAATAGAAGAAATCAGTTCTGACCCACGACACAGGGCTTTGGGAAGAGAATTACATACATTTCCTGGGTTTCTTTGAATAGTCAACAGTGGCTCCATCAGTGTATCTTAAATCTTAAGGGGGAGTTAGAGGTCAGAGTGTTCTATTCAGAAGTGTTTGAGATCAAAGAGAGTGACCAGTCACCCTCCCACCTGGACCCCACAGAGTGTCTGTCAGAAAGCCAGCCCTGGGCTGGAGAGATCCCTGGGAGGCCCAGTAATAACATACCTCCTCGTTGCATTGTGTTTTCCAGGGCATATTTGTGTGTTATTTCCTCAACTCCTTGCACAACTCTATGGGAAAATAGGGCAATTGTTATTCGCCTTCCTTTACAGAGGAGAAAAAAGGCACTGGGAGGTATAATGATGACATATGAGTAACTGGGCCTCAAATCTTGATCCTCTGACCCCAGTCTGGGAATTTGGTGGATAAAAGACACACTTATACCTCCTCCCGGAATGCAGGCAGCAGCCTGAGTGTGCAACCTGACATAGAAAGATCAGCAATTCATTACACAAAGTTCAAGTTTTCCCTGTGGCTCTTTGCTTAGTTTCCCCTCCATTGCTTCAGTTCCAGGACCCCCATCTACCCCCAAGCCTGCCCCAACCCCCCAAGAAGAATTTGCTCTGTTTTTTTGTTTATTTTTGCAATGTGGAACAATAATCTATATTCTATAAATTAAGGGTGTGAGTTCTGGAGTCAAACTTAATTCCAAATCCTGACGCTGCCTCATGCTAACTCTGTGACTTTGGACAAATTATTTAGCTTGTCTAAACCTCAGTTTAGGGGCTAGGACCTAACTCGCTGGGTTCCCATGAGGATTAAATGAGATAATGCACATAAGGTTCTGGTACGAAGGAGGCACTCATTACATGTTAGTGACTTGCCAAAGAGCTTCCTGTCTGGCTGGACTTGGCTAAGGACCACAGGTCCCCAGATTCAGAGGGATGCTCCAGGGGACCACCAGACAGTCCCCACACTCATCGCCCTTAGAGAACTGACTGCAGGGATGAGGGGGGGCAGCCACTGCTGGAGGGAGTATACGGCAGGGAGAGCTTTATAGGAGGCTATTCCAAATTGGAAACATGGAACTATTACTATTTCTACCCTTTATTTTCCTTTTGCTGTCCCTTTGAGTTCCCTGGGCTATTGAATGATAGAGGTAGATGGGCCCTCAGAGGCCATTTGATTTGACTGCCCCTGCCCCATTTCACGTCATCAGTTGGGCAGTCTCCAGTGGTCAGCAGGCATTGGGAGCAGCCGGTGCCAGGTGCTGGGCCAGGCTCTGGAGAAAGTGACCGTGGAGACTCAGTCCTCGTGCTCCAGGAGTGCTCAGCCCTTTGCCAGATGAAGACTGAGCCTCATAGAGCTCAGGTCACACTGCTCCTTAGTGCCAGAGCCAGTCCCAGTTCCTCGTCTGCCCCAGCTCAAGCCTCTCCAGACACCACAGGGCTGAACAACACCCCCAGAAGAGGTCGAAATTCTTAGCTCTTCACTTTTCTTTACTCTGAAGTCTTTTGCTTCACCAACCTTAACCTTACGAAGGGGCTACTGGTCCCTTGTGACCTGAATCTCCACACCCCAGCCCGGGCCAAACTGGGGCAAAGAAACACACCTGCTACAGTTACCGTCCTCATTCTCATTGACTCGGACCCAACTTCCCCACAGAGAAGCTCCAGAGATCCATTTGCTAAATTCAAGGGTCCCCCACTCCTTGCTTTTACCTCCACTCACTGATAGATCTAACTTGATTTCAGATGCCTTCCAAGTTTCTTTTTGAAAAGGAGACTGAAAATGGGGTTACACAATAGTCTCACTGATTTTTTTTTTTTAAATGCCCTTCCTCTTTCAGGACTGTTTGAGGCTACATTTGCATATATGCACACCAGCCAAAACTAATAGCTCTTGTGAATTCAGAATAGCCTGAAATTCAGAACAGCCTGAAATGCCACCACTTATAAACTTCATTTAGGCATTTTATTCACATTACCAAGCTGTGTATTTTAAGAACCTGTTTTACTCAAGATGAGGACGGCATGAAATGAAAACAAAAGAGAAGCCCGAGTCTTTACGGAACTTTCCTCTGGGGGTGGGGCTCTGGTGTTGGAGGTTGTAGGTGTGGGGGGACTTGACCCCATGCCCCCAAATCCCTGAAGTAGTTTGGGTTTCAATGTGTCTTTCAGCAAAATGATGCTTCAACACCCAGGCCAGGTCTCTGCCTCGGAAGTCAGTGCCTCTGCCATCGTCCCCTGCCTGTCCCCTCCTGGGTCACTGGTGTTTGAGGATTTTGCTAACCTGACACCCTTTGTCAAGGAAGAGCTGAGGTTCGCCATCCAGAACAAGCACCTCTGCCACCGGATGTCCTCCGCACTGGAGTCGGTCACTGTCAGCGGCAGACCCCTGGAGATGTCAGTCACGAAAGCCGAGGTAGGTTCTACCCCAGGTGCCCATTCTTTCAGCACTTATTTATCACACACCTGCTCACCTACCACGTGCCAGGCATGCTCTAGGCAGGAGGCTGCAGTCGTAAATAAAACACAGAACCACTGCCCACAGGGGGCTTACCTTCTACTGGGCAATACACAATATGCAAAATAAGTAAATACATAATATGAGAGACAGGGGCAAAGGAGAAAACTAAAGCAGCGAAGGTGGACAGGGAGAGTGGAGTAGGGGTTGCTGCTTTAAATCAGGGTGGTTAGGGGAGGCTTCACTGATGGAAGAGCCTTTGAGCAGAGACTCCGAGGAGGAGGAGGGGGCCATATGGGTATCTGGCAAAAGAGCAAGAATAGGCCACTGAGCAGGGAGTGTGGTGGGTGCCTCGGAGGAGTAGTAAGGTGGCCGTGTGGCTGGCGTGGAGTGCGGGGTGGGGAGTGAGTAGGAGCTGAGGTGATGGGTGGGGGCAGATCACGTTGGGTCTGAGACTATTGTAAAGATACAGCCGTTTACTCAGTGAGGTGGGAAGCCGTTGGAGAGTTTTTGAGCCAAGGAGTGACATGGTCCGAATTATAGTTTTAAATGCTCACCCTGGCTGTCATGTTGAGAATGGGCAGTAGGGGCAAGGGCAGAAGCAGTGTCTAGAAATGAGACTGTCGCAGTAATCCAGGTGAGCCAAGGAGGGTCTCCATCAGGACGGAAGCAGTGGGGTGCTGAGAAGTGGTCGGCTTGAAGGTAAAGCTGTGTCTTGAAGGTAAAGCTGATTTACTGATAGATTGGACGTGGGGTGTGAGAGAGAGGACTCAAGGGTGACTCCAAAATTTCTGGCCCGACCAGCTGTAAGGATGGAGCACCCATTTGCTGCTGAGAGGAGACTGTAGGAGGTTGAGTAGGGCCAGAGCAAGAGTCTGTCCTATTGGACACCCCAGTGGTGGAGGTATGGAGGAGGCAGTTGGATATGTGGGTCTGGAGTTCAGAGGAGAAGCAAGGCTCGAGATAATTGAGTTGGAAATCTTCAGCGTATGGATGGTATTTAAAGCCTTGAGTCTGTTTGAGGTCATCTTCTTTGTCCAGTTGTTTGGAAGAAGTACAGAGTGTGGTGATTATTGTCTTCACTAAAAGGACCCAGGTGGCCAGAGTGCGGAGCAAGGACTAGCCAGCCGTGCTCACAGCTGTGTGTGATGCTCATAGCCTTGGTACAGGTGTCTGCTCCCCGTTCACTTCTCTCTCTGATGCTTGCACTGCTCCCCACTCAGCAACCTTTTATGAGACACCTGGAGTCACAGACATGGTGAGAAGTCTGGCAGGTGGTTGCTGGTGATGCTGTGGTGGCTCAAGGACTTCAGAGCCAAGGTCGTGGCTGTTTTGTGGTCCTTTCCCTGCTGGATGCAACATAGGTGTGTTTCAAGCTTACCTAATTGGCATGATCACAGCCTTTGGGCAAGGGGTGGTAGAACTGGCCAAAAAAGAACTGAGTTTAAAAGGAGGTTGATTAAAACCTTAACAATTCTATAAAAGGGAGTGAGGGGAGATAATAATGCCTCCTGTGGAGGATTGATCTAAGGGTTCAATGAGATGATATTTGTTGAGGGTCTAGCAGAGGGCCTGGCTGATAGTGAGCATTCAGTGACTGGTAGTGGGGACTACCGTATGATGCTGTATCCATAAGGCATTACTAGGGGCATCGGCTGTGCCCCAGTTAACCTCAGAAGAGGTCATCAGTGCCCAGTCCAATACTGGACAGTGCAAGGTGAACCATGGGACACTCAAGGAAAGTTTTTTAAATGTTCTAATTAAATATCTTGAGATAACAGGATGCAATGGAAGTAGCAGTAGGATCCCCATAGAAGGAAGGAAAGCATTTTGGAAGGATATTTGGAGGGTTCTCCAGAGGAAGAAGCAGGCAGCCTCCTTCATGGAAATACTCCTTACAGCCACCCAACTCACCTACTGTGATTCTGTGTGCACCAAGTGACCTTCTGATCTTACGTCAGTTTAACAAGTAGATTTTCCTACTGGGAAAAGAATTTACCAACTGACCTAGCTGAATATTCTGGTCCCCTGGGTCTCTGTAATTGTCATCTTAAAATAAGACACTGAGCCTGTGAAACTCTTAGGCATCCTGTGCATTTGGGCAGCATGAGCCTGTACCCCATATCCCAGTCCAACATGCTGGAACGAGGCAGCTGTGGCCAGGAAATGACACAGGATGAGGAGCAAAAGGCCTGGGTTTTATAGCCTACTGGTCTGGAGACCATGAGCTGGTGATTCCTGGGCCTCCTTCAGCATATTCCTACCAGCCACTATTACTGCTACTAACAGATCAGTATTTACTTGTTGGCTGAATTCCTCATTTCCATATGAGTAATCCTCAGAGATTGAACTAAATGGCCTTTAGAAAAGCTTTTCCATCTCCGACAGTGTGTACTCTGAGAATTGCTCTACTTCCAAGTACTTCCTCATATGAGAAAACCCTGAATCCTCTCCCACAGATCCAAAACTACCTGTAGGGTTGCAAAGGAAGTGCTGGAGTTGCTGAGTTCTTGATGAAGACATTGATGGTGAGGCTAATAATAATAATAACTAAAGCTTACATAGCACTAACTATAAGCTAAACACTGTGGAAAGCATCTTACATATATTAACTAATGTGACCCTCATCATAGCCCTATTAGGTAGATAAGATTATTGATCCCATTTTACAAATGAGGAAACTGAGGATCAGAAGAGTATGGTTACTTGTGCAAAGTCTCACAGCTAATAGGTGTTTAAGCTGGGATTCAATGGCAATTTAGTCTAAACCTGAATGTCTGCCTGTGTGGTTCTGAGATCCAGGATGTAGAAGGTGGAAATGCCTCTCACCATATTTCCCCCTTGAGCTTTGTTTGTCTAAATCTCAAGGCCTCCCATCTAAGTCCAAGCAGTGTCATCTAATCCAAAGGACTAGTAATGAGGTGATTATGGCGTCCCAGGTTCTCTTTGGTTTGAGGTATGGCTCCTACACCCTTTCCTGCTGTCCAGAGCAGTGACAGGTGACATGACAAGGTCTGACATTAGCCTAAACCATCACCCACTCAGCCCACGATGAGTGCTTCACCCTAGCTGGACTCTGGTCTCTAAGCCAAGTGCAACGGCTGGACTTTGCTGATTCCCCATCAGATGAAGATGAAGTCAGGATCAGAGTGAACTTCCATAGTGGACCAGATCCTAAAACAGGACAGGGTTTTCTTCTCTGAGGATCCCCAGGGCTGGCTCAGGGTGGGACACAGAGGAAGAGATCAGTATTTATTTGGTGGATGAATCAATGGATGGTTCTAGTTCACCACCCACTGGTGGCACCAAGCCATGGACTGATAATGTCACATTGGTTGGGAATGCTCTTGGGTTCCTCTTCTCTAGGAGCTCCACCAGCTTCTCCTGAATTCAGAAAGGAGGTGTATGATGCTTGAAGTGAAGATAGAAATGAATTGGGCTGCCCTTGGGTCTTGAATCAAAGAAGAGGCAGGGGAAAGGGTGGCTAGGTGCTATTCTTGAGGTCATTCCTGGTTCTAGCGGAAAAGTCATATTTACCAAACAGAATCTATTTTCTCTAAATAATTACAGTTGTTATCAGTAGTTATCAATTTGAATATCAAACTTATATTTCAAAATCTAAATGCATTTTTTAAATAGGCCAAATTTGAATTTACTAATATTGCCAATATAATTTTAACTAACAATTCTTTGGTTTTCATTATTCATTCTTAAGCGTGTACGTGTGTGGAGAGGTTTCATGCAAAAGTCTAGGGCTTTACTTCTTCTGGGTCCTTCAGCATTAGGACTGCCCTGGTTTGCCAATTTTTGCTGGCAATAAAAGGCAGTGTATTTGAGGTGGGTCACATTTCTTGCCTCCCATTAAGCATGTGCCTCTTGTATTTTATAGGTTGCCCCTGAGGAAGATGAAAGGAAAAAGAGGCGACGGGAAAGAAATAAGATTGCAGCCGCCAAGTGCCGAAACAAGAAGAAGGAGAAGACAGAGTGCCTGCAGAAAGTGAGTGCCTTTTCCCCTCACCCCTTCCTTTGCTCATGCCTGTTCCCCACCAACCTCATGTAGCTCTCAGGAGAGTTAAAACATCCCCTACCCGGAAGTGTTTTCCCAAGAAGGGCATTGTAGCTGGTAGCAGAAATGCCAGTTGCGGAATGAGGAGGTAACAAAGCTGTTAGCACAATGAACATGACTCTGGATGTATAAAAAGCAGGTGTGTGAATTAAAAACCACAGGATCGTCTGATGTGCAGATTCCTAGCAGCCTCAGCCAGTCCATACACGTCCAACAGCTTCCAGGCTGCAGGATTTGTCAGCCTAGTTAAAGAGGCTTCACTTGCCTGTCTTCCCGAGAAAAGGAAGCTGCCAGCTCGCATTTGGCTCACTATGAAAAGCCTTTAATTAATCTCTTCAAACAAGTCATTTCCTTAATCCACGATCAGTGGTTACACTTTTTTTGTGTTCCGGTTTAGTTCTTGCTCTGCAGCCCTTCTCCTTGGCTCATCCAATAGTCTGAGCTCCTGGCTGCGTTCAGCCGGCTCCCCTTCCGGAAGGGAGCAGCATCGGTGGGAACGGCATCTGTGGGAGGCTGTGGTACACTCTTTCCAGTGTACACCCTCCCCCAAGTGTGGACAGGCCAGGGCCAAGTCTTCACCCAGGTCCCACAGGTCCTCAAAGTTTTGTTGATTGCTTCAGGGAGTCAGTGAAAATTAAGACATTTTGTATGTTGCCATATACATTCCTTCTGGGGAGATGAGCTTCTCAGTTGAATCAGTGACTCACAGAAGACTGAGCACGACAAGTTTGGATTTCTCCCCAGCCCCCAAGGCCCTTGCAAGTCCAGAAGACCTGCACATGGGCTGTTGGCCTCATGCAAAGGAGATCTCTGGGTCATTGGTTCTACTGCAGCTTCCTTACTATTAGTGTCACAACCTGCCTCAACCTTGAGTGGATACTCAAGGGCATCTCTGAAGAAGCCTGCAAGTTCAAAGGCTTCTCCAGGGTCTGGATTCTCCCAAGCCTACTGCTGCTGTCCCAGCTTTGTGGGGCACTGTAGCAGGGAACCAACAGCATTCCCCTCTGCAGGCCATTCCCAGCATGATGAGCCCTGAGATGTCTCCGAGGCCTCCCCCTCCTTGCTGGACCTTGGCTCCATTCCTAATAACTCTGTTGCTTGTCCCCCAGGAGTCGGAGAAGCTGGAGAGTGTGAATGCTGAACTGAAGGCCCAAATTGAGGAGCTCAAGAATGAGAAGCAGCATTTGATATACATGCTCAACCTTCACCGGCCCACGTGTATTGTCCGGGCTCAGAATGGGCGGACTCCAGAAGATGAGAGAAACCTTTTTATCCAACAGATAAAAGAAGGAACATTGCAGAGCTAAGCAGCCGTGGTATGGGGGCAACTGGGGAGTCCTCATCGAATCCTCCTTTTATATCCGAAACCCTGAAGCCATTGGAGATCTGACTTCCTGTGCACCTCTCGAATCCCAGCAGCAAAGAACCATCGAGGCAGGAGGGCCCTTGGTGACTCAGCTGGGCCTTTCCGCTCTGCCCCAGAGTGGACTTTGGACCAGGGCAAGGGCAGCTTTTGCCTCAGCTCCAGGATTTAGGCCTTAATATACTGGCCATCTCCAAATGGCCCCTGGTTAGGGTCCTGCCCGCCTTTTGTCTGGATTCTACAAAAACCAGGACCCCCACCATTAGGATTCATGCAGAAGAAGTGTCTGTACCTTGGGTGGGTGGGGTGGGGCTGCTTCCTCTGCCACCACTGCCACTGTCACTCATAGGGGACATGGAGTGAGAATGGCATTTAGCGAAGTTGTGCAATGGCCAGGGTTGTGCTTTCTAGCAAATATGCTGTTATGTACAGGAATTACTGTGTGCAAGGCATTTGTTTCAAAACTAGGCATTGTGCTCTTCTGATGTTGTTTCACATGACACTGGTGTGACTTTTTCATGACTTTCCTCAGATGTGGTTTCTGAGAGTTTGGAGGGCTATCACCATGTGCAGTGTCTTACAAAATGTTCGGGTGGCCAGAAGAGCTTGTCAGCCCCAGGGGAAAGGAATTCTGCCGGCCAGCAGTGCAGTTTTGTGCCAACAGAGAAGGCCTCCTTTCCCTTGGCATCCAGGCATTAATGCAAAATTCATGAGCATGACTGTAGGTCCTCTGTTGCAAACTCAGTTATAATGTCCCAGGAAGAAAGCAGAAAGAAAGTCCAACTTCCACAGGGTTAGGACTCTCTGCTCAGTGACTTAGGTCAGGAGTTATTTCTAGGCCGGAAGAGCCAAAGAATATTCCATTTTCCTTTTCTTGCAGTTGAAAACCACATTCAGTAGAGACATGTTTGAAGCCAGGTGATGCCTAGGCTTTAGCATTATTGGATGTTAATGGCATTGTTTTTGTCATGCGGATGTTTGTTGAAATCTGGCCCAGAGCATTTACAGCTTTGAGAGGTCATTCACACTGGCCGCAAGGACTCTGGCTGCTGTCTGTTTCAATTCTGATGTTTCTGTGAAATCCTCAGAGTGTTTAATGCAACTCAATAGTATCATTACAATTTTCTGTAAGAGAAAATATTATTTATCCTAGTATTCCTAACCTGTCAATATAATAAATATTGGAACCAAGACATGGTAAACTTAAGTGTTGTGCTGGTTTCTGTTCTTTTAAATTGGTTGGTTGTGAGGTCCAGTTATTCCCTGCCCCTTCCTTCCCCCATTGGAGGGGGGTTGTTTAGCTTTAAATAGTCTCCAAGTGACATCCTTTGTTCTTACGGGTGCCACTTGGTGGGATAGTTGACTTCTAATCCCATTCCTCAGTCCGTGGCATCTGATGCTCGATTTCTCATTGACAAACTCTGGGACCAAGTATATCCTTTAGACCAACTGTTTGGTGTTAAGATAGAATTTTGATATAAAATCTGAATTGATCAATGCCTCAACTATCAGTTTCTATACACGTATAAATGCCTGAAACGTACATCTGTTGTCCCAACTTGAGCCATGGACACCTGACATTCTTCCACAGAACTCCTCTTAAAGTATTCGCTTGAATTACATCTGTTAATGTCCAAATGTGTGTCTCATTGTTGCAAATATGTATTCAAACATTGGAAAAGAATGGGGGGAGAATGGGGAGGAAGAGAGAGAATAATTTTAGATGGGATAGGTGTGATCATTCAAAGAAAGGTATTCTACCTAATTTTCTGGAATCTCCAGGGCATATGATTCCTTCGGTCTGGAACAGAACCAGGTTCTCTTTCTCTTTGCCTGCACACACATGTTAACACTCACAGGCTAGAAATAAAAATTGGCTACTCTGCTACAGGCTTCCTTAAACATTCGATTCACACACATGAATGGTGTACATGCTCCTTTGAACTCATGTATGGTTCTTTTAAACTAGCACCTGTAACACAAGTGTCCTAATTTTGCTGCTTTAATTGCACATCAGGGCTAGTTCCTAATCTGTAAAGAGCCATCTGGTGGCTCCACTTCTTTCAGGAAATAATCTGTTTTCCTTATCTTGGCGGAGGGGAAAAATTCCTTGCATTTACCCCCTGGTTGTGGGTATAGATGCCACCAACCAGTCATTACGATATTCAAGACAAATTTTAAGCTGCCATGGACAATGGATTGGAGAGGATGGAAAGGGGTAGTGGCTACGGCAAGAAAAATTGATCTGAGAAATGCACTGTATATGGTTAGTGGAACTGTAAGTTCTTTTAAGAAATACATTAAATATAGTCTTGTTTTCTGTAGCCAAGCTTATGTTTTGATACTTTAATAAAAAAGAAGGATGAATATGTGTTTACCATTACGTTGTTTAGTTCATCTTGTTTCACATTTGGCAGAGAGGGAAGGTTGGGGGGGTCTGAGAGAATAAACTTGGATGGGACCTTCGCCAGAGTCAGACACCTAGTTGGACAATGTCTTTTCATTGGGCTGCATCTTACTGGGGTGGTGATGTCACACTGGCAGGGCATGGAAAGCCCTCCCTCCTTCACTCCTTCCCTCCTCTCTCCTGCCCTCATCCTGTCCCCTTGCCTTTTGAACTGGCCTGACATCTAATTCAAGAGTAAAGAGCTTTCAAGGGTTCTGGCCCAGGACGGGTTCTGGAATTGAAACTTTCACTTTCTGCCAAGAGCTAAAATGCTATTTTCCATCTTTATCCTAATTTCTCCCCATGGGCTTTGAATGAACTCTTGAAACCCATACCAAACTTTCTCTTCTCTTCCCCATCCTACACTCTTTGGTTGTGTTCAAGCAGTTTTCTGTGGAGTGAACAGTGTTTTCATGGATCTGCTCGAGGTACAATCTCAGAGGAGGCCAAGTCTGCCTGTTGAGCATCCTTCTGTGTTCTCATGGTGGCTGTAACCCCAGAAGCTTCTCTATTTATCTGATCAAAAACTGCTCACAGGAAGGAATTCACACTGAGGCTTAAAGGGCCAGTTGAGAACTAATGCTAATAATAGCTAACATTTATTGAGTGAGACAATAAGCTCAACACTTTACATGCATTCTCTCATTTAACACTCACAGCAACTGTTAATAATGCCATTTTACAGGTGAGGAAGTAGAGAGCTAAGTAGCTTGCTCAAGGTCACACAGTTGACCTTTCTAAAGCTGAAACCTATGTTTTCTAACTATAAGCGTTCCGAGCAAGAGTGTATATTTGTATGTGTGTGTGATAAAATACGCATAACATAAAATTTATCATTGTAACCATTTTAGCGTGTACAACTCAGTAGCATTCGGTTCAATATTGTGTAACCATCACCACTATCTAGTTCCAGAATTTTTCATCACTCCAAAAGGAAATCCTGTATCTATTAAGCAGTCACTCCTCATTCTCCCCTCCCTCCAGCCCTAGGCAACCACTAATCTAACACCTGTCTCTGGTTTTCCTTCTTCTGGATATTACATATAAATGGAATCACACAATATGTGGCCTTTCATATCTGGCTTCTTTCACTTAGCATAATGTTTTCAAGGTTCATCCATGTTGTACCATGTATCAGTACCTCATTCCTTTTTATGGCTGAATAATATTCCACTGCATTGATAGACCACATTTTGTTTATCCATTCATCTGTTGATGGATGTGTGTGTATTTTACCAGAAAGATAGCCTTCACCCCCAAGGAATGGATCTCTAAGGTAGGATTTCAGGCATGACATCAAACTGGGAGATAAGAGAGTTGGGAGCAGGGGCCTTTCTCAGAACTTTCAAGTAACGATTTAGAAATCACTTATTCTGTGGCTAGCTCTGTGGGAGTGGCAATAAGGCAGGGGATACAATCATACATGCTCTCCATGGGTGTCAATGCTTCCAAACCACTTCTGCATGATAGGGAGATTACCACAGGAGGGCGTTAGGAAGGCTCCTGGAATTGAAGCTTACATCTTGGGTTTACTCCCTCCCCATTTCACTGGGGGAGGAGGGAAGAAAACTGGAGGTCTTAAGAGAGAATAGCTAGGTTTCCACACACAGGCTGTTTGCACAAGAGTAATGGAGGGGAGGAACTGAGGCGACCCCCCTGGATAATTTAATCCCCAATTCAGCCCAGCCTCTGTCTGAAGCAGTTGTCTTGGGTTCTCCCCATAATATATACACACATAGAATTATGCAGCTTCTAATAATGCAGCAAATAGGTCTTCTTGAAGGTAGTTAAATCAGTCCAGTTTGAAAACCTTTGGCTGGCCCAAGCTTTCTTTGTGAGGCAAAGTACTGTAGTGGTTCAGAACAGAGGCTTTAGAATCGGCTACACCTGCCTTCAAATACTGCCTCCACTCCCACTAGTTCTGTGAATTTAGGCAATGACACAACCTCAATTTCTTTACCTGTAAAATGGGGACGGTAGCAACGTACCAAACTCAATGGATTCTTCCCAGCATATGTGAAGAACATAGCATGGTACCTAGGGAAAGCAATTTTTAATGTTATTATTAAAAGTCATTATCATCAATGTTTGCTGAGATTTTATGAAAGGACAGGCTAAGGACTAAGACTGCCAATTCTAGGTTATTCAATAAAATTAAACCATGAGCTCAAATGGTTCAATTTATGCCATCATCTTACATTCTTATAGATTTTGTCCAGTTACTGAATCTTTCGAACTTGGAGGAGGAAAAAAAAAGCAGCCACACAAAATTTTCCCATTTGAAGCAATTTTTATTTCGCTACCCACCTCAGTCCCCGGCAGGGTGGGCCTGTCCTCTGTGGTGTCGATGGGGTGTTTGAGGGGAGGATGGTGGCCCTACCCTGAGGGGGTCCCTGAGGGATGAGAACAAAGGGGTATGTAACAGTGACAGGTCATAAAGGGCAGCAGAGGATAAATATGGCCGCGCAGGGAGTTTAGGGAGTGGACACTTCTCTCTCCAGGACTGCAGTTCGCAGCAGCCTCTCAGGGAGATAAAAAATAAGAGGCTGTACATCTCTACAGACCTGAAGAGATTCAGTCTGGGGTCCAGGTACCCTACAGAATCCCCACGGCAATCGTCTGAACTCCCACCCCAGCCCCTGCCTCTGGGAGGCTCTGAGGCAAAGGGGCGGGGCCGGTGGGGTGGGGTGGGGTGGAGAGACTTGCCATAGAGCCACCTGTGTGACACGGGAGCACCGCTGCTCCCTCCTCTGCCAGCAACGCGAAGGAAGAAAAGACCCACGGACCTGCCTTGCCAGCGCTGCTTGTCATGATAAAAGACAGTCATGACCAGTGAGTCCCTGCTACCATATTACACGGCCCAGAGTGGCTCCAGCGTGGGCATGTTCAACACCGCCATGGGGAAACTGCAGCGACAACTGCACAAGGGAGAATACGACATATTCAGGTACGCACCTATATTTGAGAGCGACTTCATCCAGATCACCAGAAGGGGAGAAGTGATCGATGTGCACAACCGTGTCCGAATGGTGACCGTGGGCATCGCCTCCACTAGCCCCACCCTCTCACTACCAGACATCATGCTGCTGGCCCGCCCGGCCACCGGCTGTGAAGAGCACGCCGGGCGTGGCCAGGCCACCAAGGGAAAAAGCCGCAAGGCTACAAAGACCCTAGAGCTCACCAGGCTCCTTCCCTTGAAGTTTGTAAGGATCTCCATTCACGACCGTGAGAAACAACAGCTGCGTCTGAAGTTCGCCACTGGCCGTTCCTGCTACCTGCAGCTGTGTCCCCCTCTGGATGCGCGGGAAGACCTCTTTGCCTATTGGGAAAAGCTAATTGGCCTCCTGCGACCACCAGCGGACGGTAACAGCAGTACGTATGTCATGCCAACGGAGGACACGATATGCATGCATGAGGAAGAGGACAGCAGGAGCCCTGCAGTGGCGGACTTCCAAGGAAAAGGGGATCAGGAGCAGGGCAGCATCAGGAGCCTTCACGTGGTCTCTGAGGTGGCTGGGGCCACCTCTGCAGCTTTTGCTGGGGGGGAGGGGACCCAACATGACTCCCACAAACCCCCTACCATGCCCGATGTAGCCACCCCAAACACAAAACCTACAGAGCTTGACAAAGAGTCAGCAGCAGGGGCAATGACAGAGGCAGCGGCAGCAGCAGGGGTGGCAGCAGGCCCCACAGCAGGAGATTTGAGCTTGGCAGTAATCAAGTCTCCTGCCCCTGAACAGCTAAGCACAGCCACAGCCACC